GAGATTCTGGGAGAAGGGCAGCCCAACCCCTGGGTTGGAAAATTCAGGGTCACAAGGAGGGTATGCTAGGTAGTAACTGAGGGATGCCGAGAAAACCTGGAGGCCAAGTCTACTTTGGTATATAAAATATGCACCTCAGTCCCTTGTCCTGAGGTCTGAAACCAAATATTCATATGGTATTTTACACTTTCACTATCAAATATATTTCTATGTACTTGTCTTATTTAGGATTTTTATTACTATGAAGACACACCATGATCATGATAACTCTTATAAAGGAAAACATTTCATTGGGGCTGTCTTATAGTTTCAGAGATTTAGTACATTATTATCATGGCTGATATCCTGGCAGCATCCAGGCAGACATGGTGTTAGAGAAGGAGATGAGAGTTCTACATCTTGATCAGCAGGCAGCAGGGAGCAAGTGTCATACTGTATGTGGCTTGAGCATTTGAGACCACAAAGCTCAACACCAATGATACAGAATCAGAGATAGTCCCCACTCCAATTGTTAGGAGACACACATGAAGGCCAAGCTACACAACTGGTACAAATGTGTAGGGGTGTGGCTAGGTCTAGCCTCTGCAGATTCTTTGGTTGTTGGTTCAGTTTTTGTGAGTCCCCATGGGTCCAGGGTTAGTTGACTCTGTAGGTCTTTTTGTGGTGTTCTTGACAACTCCACCTCCCTTAATCCTATCCCCTACTCTTCCACAGACTCCCTGAATTCTGCTTGATGTCTGGTTATGGTTCTCTGCATCCGTTTCCATCAGCTGCTGGATGAAGCCTCTCAGGAGACACATATTCTAGGGTCCTGTCTGCAAGCATAGTATCATAAATAGTGTTAGTGGTTGGCTGTCTTCCATGGGAAGTGTATCAAGCTGGACCAGTCATTGGTTGACTATTCCTTCAATTTCTTTTCCATTTTAATCCATGCATATCTGGAAGGCAGGGCAATTTTGGGTTGAAGATTTTAGTTTTTCTTTTTTTTCCCCCAGACATAAGAATGTGAAAAGGAAAAGCTGAAAGAACCAAGAGCGTTTGTAAAAAGGGTCAGGAAGAAATCCTTGCTTTGACTTAAAATATATTTTAAGATTTATTTATATTTACCTTTTGAGTATACACATTTGTCTGTTTGTATGTATGTGCACCACATGTGTGCCTGGTGCCTGCTGAGGCCAAGAGAGGGTATTGAATCCTCTTGACAGAAATGAGCCACTGTGTAGGTGTTGAGAACCAAACTTAGGTTCCCTGTAAGAGAAGCAAATGCTCTGAACCACTGAGCAATTTCCCCAGTCCCTTGACATAATATATTTTTATTGAAATAAAACACATATTTATGTTAAGTGGAATAATTCAGACTAAGAAGTACAAATATGGTGTGTATGTGTGTGTGTTTCATGTGAGGAACTTAGATTTAAAGTTGTGGTGTCAGAGCCTTACCAACCTAAGACAGAAGTGCATTGCTATTGATAATGCATATTCCATGATAGGTAAGGAAGGCATTCTTGTCAGAACTACCTAAGACAGGCTCCGTCTTGTTAATGAAATAAAAAAGGAGGAGAGGCAGATAGCTTTTGGGGCTGCTTGGCAAGAATCTGACTTGGGCCAAGTACAAGGAAATTGTTTGCTTGACAGGAATCTGATATTGGCCAAGGACAAGGAAGTAGGCTTCAGGCAGGAATCTGACATTAGGCTAAAACAAAGAAGTAATTTCAGTTAGGAATCTAAATATTAGGCTACAAAAAAGAAGTAATTTCAGACAGGAATCTAAATTTTAGGCTAGAACAAGGAAGCAGGCTTCAGACATGAAAGTGACTTTGGGTTAGGACAGGGAAGTAGGCTCAGATATTTTGGTCATCCTGATAAGCCCTTAGAAACAGTGATCGTAGGAGTGTTCATGGAAATTTGTTTATTGCCTTGTTTGTTCTTTGACTGTTTTTGTTTATTGTCTTGTTTGTTCCTTGACTATTTGACTATTTGCATCTATTGTATTGCTAGTTCCTGAACCTAGAACTGACCTGAATACTTGCATGCAATTAAAATAGTATAAAAGCAAAAAAAAAAAAAAAAAAAAAAGAAAAAAAAAAAAAAGACCCGGGAGGTTCATTAAAAATAGTTCAAATGCTTTGATTAAAAAAAAAAATATAAATTAAATAAAGAATAAAAAAAAAAAAAAAAAAAAAAAAAAAAAAAAAGAAACATTGTCTCAGCTATCAGAGCATCACCTAACACAGTCAGGCTGACATATAAATCTAACCATGACACTTCATTAGTTTTGTATGAAGTGGGGGAAGTGGAGAAACTGAGGAAAACTTGGAAAAGTCATAACACACCTTCTCTGTAATCTGGCTAACATGAAGTAATGAGTGAGACCTTGTGACAACATGACTGCATCAAAGGGGTGCTCTGAAAACTGATAAAACATGTTCCTGGAGAGAGTGTGAGGATGGGCACTTGGTAGGCATTGGTCCATTTCCTTAGAATTGTGTAATTTAACTATTTAAACTAAACCACTTGTAATACTGGAAGTATAATTTACTCTGTGTATATTATATGAGTAGATGTATGCTTTATGAATTATAGTTCAAAGACCTGTTTGAATATGACATAATAGAAAAAATGTTTATGGTTTTTATAACAAAAAGTGAGAAGAATAAAAAAATATATCCAAGAAAAAAATAAAGTTGTGGTGTATGTGTAGTAGTAACAAATTAACAAGTCCCAGCACAAGCTTTCTACACACCTTAAACCACTTATGTTCCCAGATGAAAGACATACACATAGCTTTTATATTTTAATATACCTTAAATAGCACAATAGCTGTGCAACTGTCTACCCTCCTTGCTGTTAGAATCCACTTCCCTATTGATAATACTGAATTATTACTTAGTATTTACTATGTTTCATCTGGGCTGTTCTTAGCTCCAATTGGCCATCCCACACAACCTCGTTCTTTATTCCTATCCCATGGTGGCTCTCTTTCTCTCTCCTGCATGTTCCTCTTCCTCCATGGTGGCTTCCTTCTTCCTCCCCTTTCTCCTTCCTGTAAGCTCTTGAAAACTCAACCCCACCTATTTCTCTTCTCCCCAGTTATTGGCTGTTGGCATCTTTATTCACCAATCACAATCAACTGGGGGCAGAGTCACTCAGTATCTTTAGGTGAAGACTCTTTCTTGTGGAAAAACAGCTGTGGGGGACTCAAATTAGTAATAAAATACAAGCAGCATTAGGCCAACCCACTACATGTATGTGTGTATGTAGGTCTCAAAACCAGAAAGAGAGTCATGAGAGAGTAGAAAGAGATCTTAAGGGGTATAGTAAATAGAAAGAACAACGGGATTTACACATTAAGAAATTGAGAGGGAGCAGAACTGAAGGAAGAGATCAGCTAAGAAGAAATAGGGTAGGGGACTGTGGGAGAGCAATGAATGAGGACACAGTATAAGGACCTATGTATGAAGATGCCAAGCTGAAACCCATTATTTTGTATGCTAGCCTAAAAAGTAATTAAAAATTACTAGCAACATTTAGTACATTGATAATATGGTACAGGTAGCACTTCAGTCTGCTTTCATGACATTGTTTCCACCCCCAAAGAAACCATACACTTATTAAATGGTCCTACCTCCCCACTGTCCCACCCTTATCACCCCACATAAGCACTGGGCTGCTTCCTGCTTCTATGGCTTTGCCTTTTCTGGACATTTCATGCAAATGACATGACACAACAGTTCTTTAACTTTCAACAAGAAAAGAAGAAGAAAAAGAAAGAAAGAAAAGAAATCTTTGAGAATTCTGTGGAATGTGTTTAGGTTACATATACCTTTGGTCCAAATCCTTTCCTTTTCCATATTCACCCAACTTTGTGTTCTTTTTAAAGCTATCAAGTACGGTTTGTGCAGTCCATATAGTCTTGGGTGTGTGACCTTCCACTAGATCATGGTCAACTTTGAGGGGGCACACCCTTAAAGAAAATGGACTCTTGCTTCATCCAACAGCAGATGGAAACAGAATGAAAGACCAACAGCCAAACATCAGACAGAACTCAGGGAGTTGTGTGGAAGAGGAGGGGGATAGAATTGAATGAGCTGGGGGAGCCAAAGACACCACAAGAAGACCTACAGACTTAACTAACCTGGGTCCATAGGGGCTCACAGAGACTGAACCACCAACCAAAAAGCATGCAGGGGGTGGACCTAGGGCCCCCTACACATTTGTAGCAGTTGTATAGCTTGGTCTTCATGTAGGTTCCCTAACAATTGGAGCAGCGGCTGTCTCCATTGTCATTGCCTCCCACTGTATCCCCTTCCCCTAGCTGAACTGACTGCTTGGGTCTCAGTAGGAGAGGTGTTAGTCCTGATGCAACTTGATGTGCTGGGGTGAGGTGGTTCCCAAGGGGGACTTCTCTTTCCCTGGGGAGAAGAGGAGGGAGTAATGACTGGAACAGATCTGTAAGGGTGGGACTGAGAGGAGAGGAGGGAGGAATGTGTGCTTGGGACGTAAAGTGAGTAAATAAATAAATTAATGAAAAACTAGGAGTCTTTCTTCCAGTATCTTGCAAATGCCAAGAGAACTCACTGGTATAGCTTCATGCTCACTATTTCTCCCCTGGATAGGATTTGGTCTTGATGGTTGGCCTTTTCCAGATAAATCTTGAAATAGTCTTTTCAAGATTTTTTTTAATCTTTTGAAATAGTAAGGTAATTATGGTCTGGGAACATAGGTCAGTGGAGTGACTTGACTAGCGTTGATGAAGTACTGTATTCCATTCCCAGCACCACATAAAATCAGGTGTGGTAGTGTATGGCTGTAGTTGCAGCACTCGTGGGATGGAGGCAGTGTGATCAGACGTTCAAGTTCATCTCTTGTCACAAGAGCAAGTTTGAGGCCAGCCTGGATTGCATAAATCAATTAAAATGGAAGATAATTATGATACAAGCTAATGCATGTATAAAGGTGTCCATTTAAGGGAATCTCTAGCCTCTGGTTCTTTTCCTCAGGGCTGTGCATACTGCAAGTGATTCAAACACAGAATGGTGAGTACATCTCCCTAGCACCCTAAGACTTCCCAGCATTCAGCTAGAGAGAGGTTAGAGGGAGTGCCAAGCCTCAAAAGGGACCGGTTTACATGGAAGCTAACCTAGAATCTGATTCTCTTCCAAGGCCTACTCCCCAAGCCTTCCCTCCAGGCTCAACCTAGTTCCCTGGTGCCCCTGGGTCAGTCAGTCACTCTGAGGTGCCAGGGGCCTTCAGATGTGGATTTATATCGCCTGGAGAAACTGAAACCGGGGAAGTATAAAGATCAAGACTTTCTCATCATTCCATCCATGGAAAAAATTAATGCTGGACGCTACCGCTGCTCATATCAGAACGGGAGTCACTGGTCTCATGCAAGTGACCACCTTGAGCTAACTGCTACAGGTAACTGAACAGGGGAGGAATGGAGTACTGTTGGTCTTGTGGCTCTTGGGCTCCTGGGCTCCTGGGCTTCATTTCTGGACTTGGGGAGTATGAAAGTATGGTTGGTGATAGACAGTAAATTCCTAAATCCCCAAGTGCTGGAGTTAGAATGAAACAAATGAGTTGTTGGTCTTGCTTACTGAATTTAGGAGTGATGTCTTTGGGACAGTCATTAATCAAGACATAACATTTTAATGCAATACAGAAAACTTAAAAAATTGGCTATCACAGAAAAAGATTTTCTTTCCTTCAGTGGCTATCAAACTGCCTGCAGTTCCCCAGGGAGGCCCTCCCCTCTCCAATATTTAAACTGGCTTGATCTTGTATAGGTTGTCTCAGCTTTTGTGAGATCCTATTTGAAACGCCTGTGTCATGCACTGAAGATGTTATTTTGTATATTTTCTCTATGCTTTTAAGCTTTCTCTGCTTCCTCTTCCTCAGTGTTTCTTGAGCCTTAGAAGGCATTTGCCCAAATGTCCTATTTAGGCATGATCTTGACCTTTGTATGTTTTTTCTAAATTAATCATTCCATTTGTTTACATCTCAAATGATATCCAACTTTCCGGTTACTCTTCCACAAGACCCCACTACCCCCATTCCACAACCTCCGTCTTCTTCCTCCCTTATGCCTCTATGAGGCTGCTCCACCATCCACACACCCTCTCCTGCTTTACTCCTCCAGCATCCCCCAATGCTGGGGCATCAAACCTCCACAGGACCAAGGGCTTCCCCTCCTATTGATGTCAGACAAGGCCATTCTCTGCTACCTATGTATCTGGAGCCATAGATCCCTCCCTGTATACTCCTTGGTTGGTGGTCTAGTCACTGGGAGCACTGGGTGGTCTGGCCAGCTGATGATGTTCTTCCTATAGGGTTACAATCCCCCTCTGCTCCTCCAGTTCTTCTGATAGCTCCCCTAACAGGGTCCCTGAGTTCACTCTGATGGTTGGATCCAAGCATCCACATCTACTTTGGTCAGTTGCTGGCTGACCCTCCTAAGGAGCAACCAAACCAGGTTCCTGTCAGCAAGTACCTCTTGGCAATGGCAACAGTATCTGGTTTGGTGTCTGCAGTCATAATGGATCCCCAGGTGGGGCAGTCCACAGATGGCCCTTCCTTCAGGTTCTGCTCCGTTTTTTGTCCCTGTTCTTCCTTTGGACAGGAACGTTTCTGGGTTAAAAACTTTGAGATGATTGTATGGCTCCATCCCACCACTGGGGGTCATGCCTATCTCTGGAGGTGGTCTCTATAGGTTCTGTCTCCACTTCTCTCCTAAAATCAACCCTATTGCGTCCTGATGGCCTTTTATTTCCTTGACATCTGGGACCCTCCAGTGGCTATCCACAGTTCCTCATCCCCCAGATACATATTTTTATTCAATTTCCTGTTCCTCTGTACCTTTCTCATGTCCCCTCTAGTTCCTGATACTGCCCCCTTATTTCCTCCCCTTTCTCTCTCCCTCTCAGGGGCCTTATCCCTCCACCTCCCATGATTATCCTGATCCACTCTGAATGCAGGACTGAAACATCCACACCCTGGTCTTTCTTACCCCTAAGCTCCACATGGTCTGTAGGGTGGTTGTATCCTGGGCATTGTGAGTTTTGGGGCTAATATACACTTAGCATTGAGTACATACCAAGTGTGTACTTTCATGTCTGGATTACAACATTAAGGAGGAGATTTTCTAGTTCCATTCACTTCCTCTGAATTTCATGAAGACATTGTCTTATTTTTTATTTTTTATTAGATATGTTATATGTTAATATTTCATATATCATCCCCTTTCCCCATTTCCCCTCCCCAGAAATCCCCAATGTCATTTCCCTCATCCTTTTTGCTTTTATACCATTTTAATTACATGCAATTATTAAGATCAGTTCTAGGTTGAGGAACTAGCAATACAATAGATGCAAATAGTCAAGGAACAAGCAAGGCAATAAACAAAAATAGTCAAAGAACAAGCAAGGCGCTGCCCACTTACCCAGAACCCAATCTCCACCTAGGTGGGCAGTCTTGGAGAATCCAAAGGCTGGTGTGCGGCAGAACAATGGCGGATGCGGAGAAAAACGCTGTTGTGGAGAAAAATGCTGTTGAGACCAAAGAGGTTCTGGAGGAGGCAGCAAGCATTCTAGAACCTGTAGGCTTGCAGGAGGAAACAGAGCTGCCTGCCAAGATCATGGAGGAGTTTATGAGGAACTCTCGGAAGAAGGACAAGCTGCTCTGTAGCCAGCTCCAAGTTGTGAACTTCTTACAGACCTTTCTGGTTCAGGAGGATAATACTGACCAAAACTCAGATGCTTTGGTTTCTGAAGATAAAAGTCGACAAAAGGCAAATGAAACTAAGGAGGAGTGGAAGGACATGAAGGTTACATACATGGATCATGTGGATGTCATAAAATGTGCCCTGTCTGAGGCCTTACCCCAGGTGAAAGAGGCTCACAGGAAGTACACAGAGCTTCAGAAGGCTTTTGAGCAACTGGAGGCTAAGAAGCGAGTCCTTGAGGAGAAACTTCAACTAGCTCAGAAGCAGTGGGTGCTGCAACAGAAGCGTTTGCAGAATCTGACAAAGATTTCTGCAGAGGTAAAGAGATGCCAGAAGAGGGCTCTGGAGAAGCTTGATGGATCACATCAGGAACTTGAAAACTTGAAGCAGCAAGCAGGACAGGAACAGGAGAAGCTGCAGAGAAACCAGAGCTACCTCCAGCTGCTGTGTTCCCTGCAGAATAAGCTGGTCATCTCTGAGGCCAAGGCTGAGGACAAGGATGGCAAAGGGCGAGATGTTAAAGGTCGAGATGTCAAAGGGCGAGCGCTTCCACCCAAATCTCCCTAAAGGAACAAAGAAAAACACTGGTTTGGCGTGGAACACCTTTTCTCCTGAGAATGAGAAGTGGGACGATGTGCTTATAGCTTGAGAAGTGAGACAGTTTAATGATGTCTTCCGGAGCTAAGGAGTAGGGACTGAAGGAGATGTAGTTAAGATTGAAAGCTGGTTACGAAGCCTGTTAGCAGATCTTCAGGATGGACATAGTGAGAGGCAGCAAACCTGTACTTTGGCTGAAGAACCTGCAACAAGACTCCGTGGCCTGGATTGCTGACCAATTGCATAGAGATGGACTTTTTGGGAAAACTTAGATTGTTGGAGACATTTATGGGAACAGGAATCTTTCATTAAATACCTCAATTTAAAAAAAAAAAAAGAACAAGCAAGGCAATAAACAAAGTTCCATGAACACTACAGTGATCATTGTTTCTAAGGGCTTATCAGGATGACCAAAATATCTGAGCCTACTTCCCTGTCCTAGCCCAAAGTCATTTTGCATGTCTGAAGCCTACTTCCTTGTTCTAGCTTAAGATTTAGGTTCATGCCTGAAATTACTTCTTTGTTTTAGCCTAAGATTTAGATTCCTGCCTGAAATTACTTCTTTGTTCTAGCCTAATGTCAGATACCTGCCTGAAGCCCACTTCCTTGTCCTTGGTCAATGTCAGATTCTTGCCCAACAGTCCAAAAAGCTCTCTGCCTCTCCCCCTTTTTTATTTCATAAGCAAGACTGAGCTTGTCTTAGGTCATTCTGACAAGAATACCTTCCTTACTCATCATGGAATATGCATTATCAATAGCAGTGCATTTCTGTCTTAGGTTGGTAAGATTCTGTGAAGAATCTTACCTGTTCTTGACTTGCCAGCCTGTTAAATTAAGAACTCTGGGGGCCCATTTTAGTTTCAAGCCATGTACTTTGCCTGCCAACATGTTGATGTTGTTAAAGACAAGCATTCACACGATGAACAGGAAAGGACAAAAGGGGCTAGCATGATCAAGCTATATATGCCATTCTTGAAGCTTGACCAAAATAGGAATACTGATCTCAGGCCATGGGTAATTTTATCAGCAGTATTTGCTGCATCAACGCTCAGCAGAGCAGCATTCTTTAAATTTATAAGCTCACTATGCAAAGTTAAAACATTCAGAGAGGTGTTAGAATTATGTCAAATACACTGCAAGTGTCTTTAAACTTTTTCCTAATTATAATGACTATCATTGTAAATTTTAGAACTAACACGAATCCAATGGTATATGGCATGACACTTGAGATGGCTCCTTACTCTTAAACTCTGACCCTCCTTTCAATAATTTGAATAGGATAAAGAGCATCAATCCGCTCTTCCAAATACCTATCTAAATCCTCTCGTATATTCAGCACATTAGTAACATTTTTGCTAAATGATTAACACAAGTAGCTTTCTTAACTTCTTGTGTCAAAGCAATTGCAGAAGCAGTGTTGCTAGCAGTTAATGTAATTAAAGCTTTATACCAGCAATAATCAAGCACACCACCCTTTTGCTTTTGCTTAAAGTCTGACTCTTTTCTTCCAGTACTTGCAAGCTTTTTTCAGAATATCAAGGTTCTTTGATACTCGAGGGAATAAAACAAAAGCTGGTTGACAGACCTCTGTAACAGACATGCCGGATTTCAACACACTAACACAATTAGAAAGTGTACAATCAATGCAACTTACATTAAGTGCTGTAGAAGAAACAAAAGCAATTTTAACTTGACAATTAAAAGATCCTTAACACA